GAGAGAGGATGGTGGAACTAAAATCGGCTGGCTACACCTAGCTAAGATCAAGTCAAGTAGGTTAGGGTTAGGGTTCAATAATGTGAGAGAGGATGATGGAACTAAAATTTGCTCCCTAGTGGAGCTCAGTTCAGGCAGAGATGAAAAGCCTAAAGGACTGGTGCAGTTGAAGAGAAAGTAATCTACTCCAGGAGAAGGAGAGAAGTAGTGAGGTCTTGACCAAGTTACCTGAGATGTCAATAACCCGGTGAAAAACACACTGAGAAGGTCAGTGATGGCCTTGAAGATCACGCCGGAGAATAATCCAAGGGGCGAAAAGGTCGCCTCATGCGGAGAATCACAGTGACAGCGAGATGGGCGATGAAAAGTAGGATCGCAAGCCGTGTCGAGTGGAACCCTATGTGGTGATTCAGCTTCGAACTCCTGAAGACAACGTAAAATCCGATCAATGAGAAGTTTACCGTCACCAGACTCAAATTCCTAACAAGCAGCTCCCATATTTTCCGAGCTTGTCGCCGATCACGTTCACCAGCTCCGGCGATGAGTAGAGTTTTAGACAAGTAGTTTCCAGTGCGAAGGACGACTTTCCCGAGCATTGTTTTAGACTCTCGAGATTCAAAAGAGTCCCTAAACTAACCACGCTTTTTAATATCCAATTGAGAAATACTACTATAGGAGTCTGTCCCTCGTCAAATGATCAGCTCTACCTTTTTTAACCACTGATTTATTTGACTATTCAAATATCTTAAAAAGCTGTTGATTAAATAAAAGAGCTCACGTTTGAGCGGTTACATAGTAGTATTACTGCCACAACGCGGTGAGGCTAAGACGCTTGGGACGGTCCTCCTGTCTAGCTACACATGGGGACTGAACCAGTATACCCGGCATCATCACCATTCACCACTGTTGATCAAATATAGTAATTTTTTTCTTTCTTTTTTTCTTAATTGTTTTAGGGTTGATTTGGTAGGTGTTTTGTTTATTTTGTTTTTGATTTAATCATTAACAAAATAATAAGAATAAGTGTTTTGAATATTAATAAAAAGTATAATTGATAATGTTTATATCTTGTAAAATTTTTGGAAGCAATTGGAAAAAAGTGTTATAAGTTTTTAATTTTTTGGGGGTATTGTTCATATTGTTATAGTACCTGTTGGTACAGTGCAAAAACGTGTAAAAACATCATATTGATGTTTTGTTGTCACTATTCATGAAACGTTTTGATACTGTACAAAAGGAAACATTTTTTAGCAAACGTTTTTTTTCTTTTTCTTCAAAAACACTCCTGCAGTGACAAACAAGGTCTGAGATTCATAAGATCGAGACTCTTTGTAGTTGTTATATAAAGAGTCACACTTTCACGGGGTTTTAATAAAATTCTCGTAAATAAATATTTTTAGTATTTGTCCAACTTTAACAGAATAAAATCGTCTAGCTAATAAAGGCAAAAATTAATTTTTCCATTAAGTAAAAATATTTCCCGCGGACACAATTTCCCACTCCTTTCATCAAAACACCCTGTAGCTCGATCCACATCCATTATAGTTTTTACTCCACTAAAAGCTTGCTGCTCAAATTGCCCTAATGGCTGACAAAACCAACACTTGGTCTCTCTCAAAATGCCCTAATTTCACCCTATTCCGACCCAGACCAATGCTCATCTTTCTTAATTTTGCTAAACTATCTTCTTTGTTTCATATTTACGCTTATGTATCTTATTTTATATATGTCTAAAATCTTCTTGCTTGCAATTAAAGACCTCTCAATGGTCATTAAACTTTAATCTAATTCAATCAATCTTTGACTTTTGAGGTAAAAAAAGTCTTGATTGAGATTTGTTCAAGTCTCGTAAGCTAAAACAAAATCAAATGCAACAAACTAGTACCTTTTAACTAACATGTAACATTCTCTACTTCATTGACTAAAAGTAGTACAAGGAGGTTACAAATCTTTGGTACTAGTGTTTGGGGTCGTAGCAACTGGTTATAAATTCCATGAAGTAAAGAAACCTAATAATTCAAGTGTTCCAAGGTTAACAGCAAAAATGAAAAGAAAATGAACTAAGAAATACAAGCTTACACTACTAGAAGCACACGCGAGGCAAGTAAGAGAGCTAAGTTTACAAGCTTGAAAGGAAAATACATCGAATATAAACAAAGTTTTGTAAACTGGAAAGGTAAATGTTTCAGAGGAGTAACACCACAATCCCTTTTCCTTTCGTAAATGAGTTCTATTTATAATGCTGAACTACAGTTCATGCGTAGATGAGCGTCAAATGTAGGGTGAAGTTAAGAGTTGATGAAAACACGTTGTCTATTCATGTATCGTCTTTAGATGATACAGATGTGACGGTTATCAACACGTTGTCCATTCATGTATCGTCTTTAGCTGATACAGATGTGACGGTTGTTGTCCAAAATATGGTCTAAGTATATCATATACTATATTTTTTTCCTAGTTATATACCATATACTATAGTATTACTTATTTAAATATTATGCAAAATATAATGTGTATATATATATATATATATATATATATATATATATATATATATATATATATATATATTATAGTTGGTACTCACACACACATGTTTCTTCTGAAACTTTAACCTCTGACCTCCCTTTGGGAAGTAAGAGACTAACACCTCTAGGCCATTGGCCCATTGGTATATATATATAATTATTATTATAAAACAATAATCTCTCTATATATAATTTCTTATAATATATAAGAAATAAAATAAAACTATACAAAAATAAAAGAACCTGATTATAAGTCGAGGATAGAATTTAATTCTATGTCCTTCAGACAGATTCGCCCCGCTATGGTGTTAATGGACTCAGTAGTGTCCATCTCATGACTTGTCTTCCTTCGGTAGTAGCACTGCAAACCGAAGAAATGGGCGAACCGGCTCGGACTCTCTTAAGTAGACTCGAACTCACAGACTAAGACTCGAACCCACAAACTATGTATGCAAGAGAATTTAGAATTAGAGAAGAGAATTCTGAATGGAGTGATTTGCAAATGATCCAAAATGGGGTATTTATAGGCAGCAAGGTGCCTTTTCGGGTGGGTGCAACCATGGGTTATGATGGTTCAGAAAAAGGTGCAACCTTTTGGCAAAAACTAAAAAGTAGTTTTAATTTAAATTCAAAAAACTGATTTTAAATTTAATTTAAATTCAAATACCAACCACCTATTTGTGAAACCCATTTAAATAAACTTAGCCCAAAAATAAATTAAGTCCAAACACAGGCCCAATTCAAAATTCCGTTTAGTAAAAAGAATAACTGGAATTTACAATTAAACCTAAGCCCAGCTCGGCCCAGGCGATGGTTTGGACCCAAGCTTGCCTAGGTCCTCCCTTTCTTAAAAACTTGGGTGCTCTTGGGCCTAAACCCAAATCCCAAACTTGGCTTATTTAAACTTCAAATGGTTTCAACATTTTTTTCATGTGGGACAAACACTTCTCACATTTTGCATACCCATTTAGGCTTATCAAACACCTCACTTTGGAGCTAATTTCTCATTCACTCGGAAACGGATTTGAGAAAGTAAATATACCACGTTCATCTCATTGCCGAGGAACGCGAACATCTATAGATCTGCAAAAAATTCTTAGTAGAATCTACTCCAAATTTCATCCAATATTTTCGATTTGTATGTCCCGTTTCTAACAATCCCCTACATGAATGGAAATTTGTGTCAAATGCAAATGATGAAAATGTAGACACTAAAGAGAGTACTATCGGAAAGTTACTGAATTAGGATATATAGCTTTTAGCCTTGAACCTTTCCTAGTGTACTATCGGATTTACTAGCTAACCAGTAAACATGATGTCTTGAACTGTTCAGCCGTTGATGTAAACCAAGACAATAGCAAACACACAGTTCCCTTACGCACAAAGTCGGTTCTCACGTATGTTCATATGGCCCTGAACAACTCTTGATATTTCATGAGTGCTCTAGAAAACTTTGCCTTCGAAGTTCTCATAGAAGCCTTTCATGAGTGCTCTAGAAAACTTTGCCTTCGAAGTTCTCATAGAAGCCTTTCATGAGTGCTCTAAAAAACTTAGCCTTCAAAGTTCTCATAGAAGCCACCCACTTCACACTCATATAGGTGACCTCTTATTAAGAGTATCCTACCATGCCCCACTTGAATTTTCAAGATATAAGAGTCATTAAAAGCATAACTTATCCTAATCCTAACTGTAGGTAGCACTGTCCCATCATAGAAATGAGTAGAAGATTAAATCTTCCCAGTGCTTCTGGTGAGCCATTCAAAATTTATGTTGTCCCTTTGAACCTAGATCTTGGGATCTTCAGTCAACTAGGTTGGGAAACACACAGTTCCCTTCCGCAAAAAGTCGGTTCTCACGTATGTTCATATGGCCCTGAACAACTCCTGGTATTTCATGAGTGCTCTAGAAAACTTAGCCTTCGAAGTTCTCATAGAAGCCGGCCCGCTTCACACTCATATAGGTGACCTCTTATTAAGTACTCCTACCATACCCCACTTAAATTTTCAAGATATAAGAGTCATTAAAAGCATAACTTATCATAATCCTCGCTGTAAGTAGCACTGTCCCATCATAGAAATGAGTAGAAGAATAAATCTTCCCAGTGCTTCTGGTGAGCCATTCAGAATTTATGTTGTCCCTTTGAACCTAGATCTTAGGATCTTCAGTCAACTAGGTTGGGTTTCCATTAAGATGACTCGTTAGCTTTCGGCTTTAATCCTATTCCCCTCGATGAACTATACACTTGCCCTCTTGTCAAACCTTTTGTAAACGGATCCACTAAATTATCTTTAGACCTAATATAATCTATTGAGATTATCCCACTTTAGAGCAATTGTCGTTATTATGTCTTCAACGTATATGTCGAGACTTAACCATTATACTACATAGTACTTTGTAACATACCAATTGCTAATTGACTATCATAATGTATACATGTAGCAGTCACAAGTTTAGGCCAATTTGGAATATCTTCTAAGAAATTATGAAGCCGTTCAGCTTCTTCTCCAGCTTTATCCAAAGCAATAAATTCAGATTCCATAGTGGATCTGGCGATACAAATTTGTTTCCAAGATTTCCAAGATTTCGAAGTTTAGGCCAATTTGGAATATCTTCTAAGAAATTATGAAGCCGTTCAGCTTCTTCTCCAGCTTTATCCAAAGCAATAAATTCAGATTCCATAGTGGATCTGGCGATACAAATTTGTTTCGAAGATTTCCAAGATATGGCAGCTCCTCCAATAGTAAAGATATAGCCACTTGTGGATTTAGAATCCTTCGTATTTGATATCCAATTAGCATCATTGTATCCTTCAAGTACCGCTGGATATCTTGAATAATGCAATCCATAACTTATGATATATCTTAAATACCTTAGAACCCTGTTTATTACAGTCCAATGATTCTTTGCTGGATTGCTTATATATCTACTCAATTTATTAACTGAGTATGCTATGTCTGGTCGTGTACAATTCATCAGATACATTAAGCTTCCTATAATGCGAGAATACTCAAGTTGTGATATGTTAGGGCCAGTATTTTTTTATAAATGAAGATTTACATCAACAGGAGTCTTTGCAAGGCTACTATCTTCTTTATTAAACTTTTCTAATATTTTCTCAATATTAAGCTTCCTATAATGCAAGAAACTCAAGTTATGATATGTTACAACCAGTATTTTTTGATAAATGACGATTTACATCAACAGGAGTCATTGCAAGACTACTATCTTCTTTATTAAACTTTTCTAATATTTTCTCAATATAGTGAGATTGATATAATACTAGACCATCTGATGTTCTAGAAATCTTGATTCCTAGAATGACATCAACTATGCCTAAATTTTTCATATCGAAATTTTTGGTCAACATCTTTTTAGTAGTTTTGATTATAACATCATTACTACCTATTATTAGCATATCATCCACATATAGGCACACAATGACATATCCATTTTGAGTGTTTTTCACATAAACACATTTATCACACTCATTGATTTTAAAACCATTTGACAACATCACTTTGTCAAATTTTTCATGCCATTGTTTAGGTGCTTGTTTTAATCCATGTAAGGATTTTACAAGCTTGCACAACTTCTTTTCTTTCCCTAGAACTATAAAACCTTCAAGTTGTTCCATATAAATTTCTTCCTCTAATTCACCATTCAAGAACGCAATCGTAACATCTATTTAATATACTTCTAAACTTTGTAACATTGCAATAGCTAGTAACAATCTAATGGATGTTATTCTTGTTACTGGTGAATATGTATCAAATAATCTAAGTCTTCCTTTTGTCTGTATCCCTTAGCAACAAGCCTGGCTTTATATTTATCAATTTGAATCATCAGGTTTCATTTTCTTTTTGAAAATCCACTTATACCCTAAAAGTTTAGTACCAGGAGGAAGATCCACCAGCTCCCAAGTACGATTTGCATGATGGATTCAATTTCACTATTAATGGCTTTTTTTCCATAAAGGAGCTTCAGGAGAAGACATAGCTTCCTTATAGCTTTGTGGCTCATTCTCCAATATATATATTAGAAAATCATGACCAAATGACTTAGACGTTCTTGCTCTTTTATTACGTTTAAGTTCATCCTTATTTCCATCATTTATAGACTTTTGGTTTATATTCTCTTGTATATTGCTATTAGCAATATCATGATTTCTTTTAAGAGGATTTTTATCTTGTATATTTTTACAAGGAAATATATCCTCAAAAAAAACAAGCATTTCTTGACTCAATAATTGTATTAACATGGATGTCAGGAATGTCTAATTTATGCACAAGGAAACGATATGCACTACTATTTTGTGCATAGCCTATGAAAATACCATCAAAGATTTTTGGTCATATCTTAACTTTCTTAGGAGTAAGAACCGCAACCTTAGCTAGACACCCCCCCACATTTTAAAGAATTTATAGGAAGGTTTTTGACCTTCTCATAATTCATAAGGTGTCACATTTGTTTTCTTTTGAGGTATTTTATTGAGAATTTGCAGAAAGCAAAGCTTCCCACCACAAATTCTGGGTTAAACCAGAACTTATCAACATAGCATTCATCATTTCTTTTAAGGTACGATTTTTGCGTTCAGCAACACCGTTCTGTTGAGATGAATAAGGAGCGGTAGTTTGGTGAATAGTACCATGTTATGAACAAATGTAAGTGAATGGTGCTTCATATTCACCACCTCTATCACTTCTAAATACATTTATCTTTTTGCCAAGTTGATTTTCAACCTCATTCTTGTAATGTTTAAACATTTCCAAAGTTTCACCTTTGCTTCTTAGCAAGTATACATAACAGTATCTTGTGCAATCATCAATAAAAGTAATAAAATACTTTTTTCCACCTCTGGTTGGCACAGATTTAATAGAAACAAATACCAACTTGAACCCATTCTTGCTTAGAAGAGATCCAGAGACCAAGTTCTTCATGTGGTACAAGTAGCACATTATTCAGAGTGAGCTCTTTCCCCGAGGTCATTAGCAGCTTAATCTTTCCTTGTCCTTTCAACCTTTGCAGTAGAAGAGAGTTCCCCATGTAGAGTTGTTCTCCATGATCTATAACTTCATAGGTAATGAACATCCTCTTTTCTGAGCGAACATGACGAGTAGCCCCTGTGTCCACCCACCATTCTCTATTGTTGCTCACAAGGTTGATTTCAGAAACCACAGCTGAAAGATTTAGCTCTATATCAGCTGTCAATTTATCTTCCTCGGCAATATGCACCTCAGTGGTCTTTTTTTTGGAGTTATGTTATGCTTTGCGGCTACGACAATCTTTAGTTCGGTGTCCTAGCTTGCCGCATATGTAGCACTTCCGTTAAACCTCTTGTAGTTTCCTTGGCTGGGACCTTCTCCAGAGTACTTCCTCTTCTTATTTTTCTGCCTAGCTTCCACTACATTTGCCTTTGACACCATTGAAGAATTCCCGACTTTCTTTTCAGATGTGCGGTTATCTTCTTCAATCCTCAGCTTGACAATCAGGTCTTCGAGCCCCATTTCCTTACACTTATGTTTCAAGTAATTTTTGAAATCTTTCCAAGTAGGCGGCAATTTTTCAATGATTGAAGCTACTTGAAAAGATTCACTCAAAGTCATCTTCTCAGCATGTATCTCATGTAGGATCAACTGCTCCTGCACTTGGCTCATAACAGTGTTGGAGTCCACCATTTTGAAGTCTAGAAATCGTCCGACCACAAATTTCTTCAAACCAGCATCTTCTGTTTTATACTTCTTGTCTAGTGACTCCTAAAGCTCTTTAGCAGTATTTATTGAACTGTACACCTTATATAAAGTGTTGTCCAATCTATTGAGGATGTAGTTCTTGCATAGGAAATCTCCATGCTTCTATGCATCAACAGCTCCTAATTTTGTAATATCAGTCTCACCTTATTTTAGCACTGGGGCAATCTCAGTTAGGAACTTGCTCAGATTTAGAGTTATAAGGTAGAACATCATTTTCTGTTGCCACCTTTTAAACTCCGTCCCATTAAATTTTTCGGGATTCTCCCCATAACTGACGGGGAACATTAGGCATAGTAGTACTTGTACTTGTCATTCGTCTGTTATATATCAAATATGCAGACCACAAGTCAATATATACAGCAATATAACAACAAAAATAATATTTAAATAATTAATACTCCTACCATCCCATTTAAGTGTCATCATTGGAATTTGTGACTCACAATTTTGTGAGTCACAAATTCCAATGACGATACTAATATTGGGACGGTGGGAGTACTATATAAAAGGCAAAATCTATCTTAAGATTGTTGTCCAAAATATAGCCTACTATATTATTACTTATTTAAATATTATGCAAAATATAATGTGTGTGTATATATATATATATATATAATTTTTTTTTTTTGGATAAGTAAAAATATATTAGAAAAACGTTCAAAAGGGGAACGCATCCCTAATACAAGAGAAAAGATCTAAGGACCAATAGAATCCAAGAGATCAAAGAAATCATCAATCGAGGAGCATGTACTTCCTCTAACATAAAAGAATAAAGAACGAAGAATATGAATTTTTAAATTAGCTAAGGACGATTCTTTTCCTTCAAAGGATCTGTTATTTCTCTCATGCCACAAACACCACCAGACACAATGAGGAACAATCTTCCAATAAGCACGAGCTTGTTTCTTAACAGGACAGCTTTTCCAAGCGTTAATCAATTGAGAGGAGTGCTTAGGCATTACCCAAAAAATGCCGAATATGCTGAAAATAAAACTCCAGCAACCAAACGCCACAGGACAATGCAAAAGAATGTGATCCATGGATTCACTATCATATTTGCATAAACAACACCAATTAAAAATGATGTTGCCTCTCTTTCTCAAATTGTCCAAAGTCAAAATCTTCCCCAATGTAGCTGTCCAAACGAAGAACGCGATTCGAAGAGGGGCTTTAGAGCACCACACGGACTTCCAAGGAAACTCGGAACCAACGAAATTGGATAAATGAATAAACATAGAGCGGACATCATACCGACCATGAGCCAAAGGAACCCACAAAATATCATCACACCCTCTGCCAATATCCTTCTGCCTATACAAAATATCCAAAAAAGAAGAGACTTCCTCCATTTCCCAGTCCTGAAAAGACCACCTAAACCGCATATCCCACGTAACTCCATTGTTATCAAGATGATAACAATCAATCACGAAAACATGCTTATTAGTTGCAATGCTATAAAGCCTAGGAAATGAGTGTGAAAGCAACCGGTCACCACACCAAAGATCCTCCCAAAAACGAACATGCCTGCCATTACGAACTTTGAATCTAATAAGAGTAGAGCAGACATCCCATCCCTTCCGAATAAATTTCCACAAACCAACGCCTCCCATAATAGTGACTGGAAGAGATGACCAACCCCCACTCCCCTCACCAAAACGACACAAGACAACTCTTCTCCATTGACGATGTCGTTCCCTTCCAAATCGCCATAACCACCTTCCTAAGAGAGCACGATTAAAAGGAACAATTTTTCGAATGCCTAACCCTCCGAATCTCAATGGTTGGCAAACTTGATCCCAATTAACAAGATGATACTTAAACTCCTCTCCCCTTCCACCCCACAGAAAATCCCTCTAAATTTTTTCAATTCTATCAGCAACAGAACATGGAATTTGAAACAAAGATAAAAAATAGGTAGGAAGGGATAAAAGAGTACTCTTTATAAGTGTGACTTTCCCACCCTTAGATAGATACTGCTTTTTCCATCCTGCTAATCTTTTCTCATATCTATTAATCACTGAATCCCAATTCCCAATCAGAGTAGAAGAAACTCCCAAAGGCAATCCTAAATAAGGAAGAGGAAAATAACCAACTCCGCACCCTAAAACAGTAGCTAAGGAGGAAATATCTGGAACATCCCCCACTGGAACAAGCACACTCTTTCCGACATTAATCTTAAGCCCAGAAACTGCTTAGAAGCAAGCAAGAGTGCACCTCAGATATCTGAGTTGAGAAATATCAGCATCACAAAATACCAAAGTATCATCAGCAAATAAAAGATGGGAAATCTGGATCTGATAATCAACATCTCTGCCAACTCTGAACCCCCTAATGTAACCCAAATCTTCCACTTTTCTCATTAATCTAGTCAGACCTTCCATAACGATGAGAAAAAGAAAAGAAGATAATGGATCACCTTGTCGCAGACCACGTGAGCTAGCAAAAAAACCCGCAGGAGAGCCATTCACAAGAACAGAAAACATAGCTGATGAGATACAAGTGTCAATCCATTTTATCCATCTATCACCAAATCCCATCCTCCGAAGAAGATACAAAACAAACTTCCAATTAACATGATCATAAGCTTTCTCGATATCAAGCTTACATAAAACGCCAGGAACCCCACTTCTTAATCTAGAGTCAACACATTCCCGAGCAATAAGAACAGAATCCAAAATCTGCCTTCCACTAACAAAAGCGTTCTGCGATTCTGAGATAAGACCATCCAACACTTTACTCATCCTGGAGACAAGAACCTTGGCAATAAGCTTATACATACATCCGATTAAGCTAATTGGTCGAAAATCCTTGATATCAGATGCACCGCCCTTAGGGATGAGAGCAATAAAAGTTGCATTCAAAGATTTTTCAAATGTGCCATGAGAATAAAAATCCTGAAAAGTGCTCATCACCTCCTCTCGCACCACCTCCCAACTCTCCTTAAAAAAGCGCATAGTAAATCCGTCTGGCCCTAGTGCTTTGTCCCCGTTGCAACTAAGCACTTTCTCTTCCGTGAATGGAATCTCAATACTATCCCTATCCAACGCAGAAATAGTATTAAATGGAAGACCATCAAGAGTAGGTCTTCGATCCAAAGTTTCAGTGTAAAGCTGCTGATAAAAAGAAGCAATTCCTCCGCGCACATCTTCTTCTCTCCACAAATCAGAACCATTAACCCGAATACGTCCGATATGATTACACCTTCTGTGAGCATTGGCCAGTCTATGAAAGAATTTTGTATTCCGATCACCATCTTTTAACCACAAAGCCAGAGACTTTTGATGCCACGAAATCTCCTCCATATGAGCAATCTCAGCAAAAACCGCTTGATAAGAGGCTCTTTGAGAGCGTAAAGACTCCCTACTCTGTCCCACCTCAGCTAAACGATCAAGCTCAGCAATATCAGCAAGGGCTCATTCTTTTTCCATTCAAGATTCCTAAAAACTTCTTTATTCCATCTCTTAAGCTCAGTTTTAAGAAACTGAAGCTTTCTAGCTAACACATAACTAGCAGAGCCTGTGAAAGACCCTTTTTGCCACCAAGACTGAACCTTCCCTTGAAAGTCTTCAGATCTAAGCCACATGTTTTCGAATCTGAAAGGAGTGCGTCTAGACCTCAAACCACCACAATCCAAAACAAGAGGTACATGATCAGATGTGACTCTAACCAACACAGCCTGAGAGACATCCGGGAAATGCTTTTCCCAAGCCCCAGAAATCAGGAAACGATCCAATCGAGAAAAAGTAACCGGTTCCCTACCATTAGACCAAGTAAAAGCCGCTCCTTCCAACGTAAGATCGATAAGAAAATTATTGTCAATAAATTCTAAAAACATGGTCATTTCTGAAGACCACCTACCTCCTGTGGATCTCTCAAATGGGGATCTAACAGAATTAAAATCCCCACCTAAGCACCAAGGCAATGACCATAAGTCCTTAACAAAGCAAAGCTCTTCCCATAGGACTGGTTTATCACTATCAGTAACAGGCCCATACACACCTGAAAACGTCCATTTGAAATTGTCTTCTTCCATCTGAAACATGCATGACACCGAGAAAATACCCTTCCAACAGTTCAAACTTGACAACCATCTACGATCCCACATGAGGAGAATACCACCTGAAGTGCCTGTTGCATTTAAAACTTCAAAGTCCACAAACCTACCTCCCCAAAGACTCCTGACAATCTCAACAGTAATATCAGCCAATTTAGTTTCTTGTAAGCAGACAACATGAGCACTCCACTTCCTCAAAGCGACCTTGATAACTCTTCTTCTTTTCGGGTCATTATCATAAAACAATAATCTCTATATATATAATTTCTTATAATATATAGTTATATATTTAAGAAATAAAATAAAACTATACAAAAATAAAAGAACCTGATTGTAAGTCGAGGCTAGAATTTAATTCTATGTCCTTAAGACAGATTCGCCTCGCTATGGTGCTAACGGACTCAGTGGCATTTATCTCTCAGGATATAATGACTTGTCTTCCTTCAGTAGTAGCACTGCAAACTGAAGAAATGGGCGAACCGGCTCGGTGTAGTACTCTCTCTCTTAAATAAACTCGAACTCGGACTCGAACACGCAAACTAAGACTCGAACCCACAGATTAAGGCTCAAACCCACAGATTATGTATGCAAGAAGAGAGGAGGAGGAAAAGAATTCAGAATTAGAGAAAAGAATTTAGAATTAGAGAAAAGAATTATGGGTATTTATAGGCAGCAAGGTGCATTTTCGGGTGGGTGCAACCATGGGTTTATGATGGTTCAAAAAAAAGTGCAACCCTTTGGAAAAAAACCTAAAAATTGATTTTAATTTAAATTCAAATATGTACCCATTTGTGAAACCCATTTAAATAAGCCCAGCCTAAAAATAAATTAAGTCTAAAACACAAGCCCAATTCAAAATTCCGTTTAGTAAAAAGAATTTACAATTAAGCCCAAGCCCGGCCCGGCCCTGGCGCGCACGCGTGTGGATCGATGGTTTGGATCCAAGCTTGCCTAGGTCCTCCCTCCTCTTAAAAACTTGGGTGCCCTTGGCCCAAACCCAAATCCCAAACTTAGCTTATTTAAACTTCAAATAGTTTCAACATTTTTTCCATATGGGACAAACACTTCCCACATTTTGCATACTCATTTAGGCATATCATACACCTCACTTTGGAGCTAATTTCTCATTCACTCGAAAATAAATTTAAGAAAGTAAATATACCACGTTCATCTCCTTGCGGAGAGGAACGCGTTCGTCTATAGATCCACAAAAAATTCTTAACAGAATCTACTCCAAATTTCATCCTAAGTTTCTGTTTTGTATGCCCCGTTTCCAACAACGGAGTCATTAAGCATACAACTAATCTGATAGGTTTGAACTTGAGTTAGACTATGAAGACAATCAAGTGTTTTTTTAGCCTATCTTGTCACGATGTTTTGATTTGACAAAAACCACTACGACGGCTAATTGTGACTCGAGTCGAATGGCTAAGATCATTGGGTATCTTGGGGACCGAAAATTGCTTTCTTGGCACTTGGTTAACTATTAGGCACGTTGTCCATTCATGTATTGTCTTCCGCTGGAAAGGTTAATGCTTCAGAGGAGTAATTATGCAAGTGTGACTGATGCATGATCCATTTTCCTTTCGTAAATGAATCAATTAATCTATTAATTAATTAATCTATCAATTACTCACTAGCAACCTTGTGATCAAAGAAATACTAAAATAATTTTGATTGAACATACAGAAGACTAAAAAGTGTAAATCTGTACAGTGCACTATTGTGATATTACAATTAAAATAAGAAGTAGAAGAAGGAATAAACAATAACCCAAACGCTACCCAAAATGGCTTTTAAGCTCTTTCAATCTAGTAAAACAAACGATATTCAAAATGGCTTTTGAGCTCAAAAAGCAAAAGCAACGTTTTGGAAGATAATCCAAACAGGCACTAGACATTCTTTCCAATAATATAGCACAAAATCGTCAAGGGTGACGGATTCAGATACCGTCAAATGGTTCTACTTCTCTATACTTAGCCAAGTTTTATGTTTCCATTTGTGCAAAAATCTACATTAGTGATATCCTTTAATTGTCCTCCATTTCTTTTAAGACTTTGGTAACCACATTATGTGGACTGTAATATCCATACTTCGTTTGCCACCAGCAAAGAAAAGAGACAATAAACATTTCTCATTAAACAAAATTCAAGTAGAAGAGAGGTGGCAGTTCAAACTGCTTGAGGTGACAAACATATATTAAACATAAATGTACCCTCGAATATGATTAGGGAATGCAATGCACTTATCATTAAACATTCACAATCCACACCCAATTAGAGGAACACCTTTACCACAGTTTACAGAACATCTCACCATGGTGTTGTCTCTGTGCGCGCATCACGGCCCTTCGCACTGAAGCTGAAATTCAACAAAAAATGTGAAGATAATTTAACAACAGAGGATACTAACAACTAAATACCAATATCTAACCTCTCTTTGCCAGAGTCTGTGTGTCTGGAGCATCCTGGGCACGATCCTCAATATAATCTTTGATACCAAGCAAGAGAACGGTGTAGATGGATAAAGCCTCAAAAGTGAAGCAGGGGTACTCCTAATCCGCGTAGAGAGAAATTGAGAAAAAGATGCAGATATAGAGTAAACTATAGGTTGGGGTATAAGACAGCCCAGGGCGAACAAGGGTGGCCATGACCTGGGATTAAAGTGCCAATAGAGCTTGTGCCACAACAATTAGCCAGTCAAGTACGTTAAAGTTGGTGTTCAATGTTTTGAGAGAGGATGGAGGAACTAAAAATGGCTCGTTACACCCACCTAAGATCAAGTAATGTAGGAGGGATTAGGGTTCAATGTTGTAAGGGAGGATGATAGATCTAAAATTTGCTACCCAGTCAAGCTCAATTCTGGCAACAGGAATGAAACACCTAAAGGATTGGTGCAGTTGAAGATATAGTAATTGAATCCAGGAGAAAGAGAGACGTGGTGACGTCTTGACAGAGATACCTGAGATGTAATAAACCCGGAGAAAAGCATGGAGAGCCAGTTGGTAGTGGCCTTGAAGATCACGCTGGAGAAGAATCGATGGGGGCGAAAAGGTCGCCTCATGCGGAGAATCACAGTGACAGCAAGATGGGCGATGAAGCCACATCACCCTAAGCGGTGATCCAGCTTCGAACCCCTAAAGGTAGTAAACGCCGATCAATGAGACATTTTGCCGCCACCAGACTCGGATTCCTGACTAGCCGCTCCCATTTTTTCCAAGCTTGTGGCCGTTCACACTCACCACCACGTCCGGCGATGAGGGGAGTTTCGGACGAGTAGTTTCCAGTGCGACAGACGACTTTCCCGGTCATTATTTTCGACACCCGAGTGCCCTAACGACTCTTGTTAATATCCTATTGAGTAATGCTACTGTAGGGAGTCCCTCCCACGTCATATGATGAGCTCTACTTTGTTGAACCACTAATTCACTTGACTTTTCAAATATCTCAACAAAACAATCGATTATATAAAAAAGAACTCACGTTTGAGCGCTTACAAAGTAGTATTACTCCCCCGAGGCAGTTAGGCTAAGGAGCTTGGGTCTGGGCTCCTGTCTAGCTTGTGGATTTACATATTATAGGGCATGTTTGGGCTGTGTAGCTTGACAACAAATAGGAAAATTATTTTTTCAACATGTAAGGTCTCAAAATTTGGAAAATTATTATTCTTTTTTGAACATGCAGGTCTCAAAAACAATATATATATATATAGAATATTAGAGGGTAATTGCTGAAATTGTCCAGTCCAAATGGCTTCCGATCCTACTCTTCATTGCCCATCTCTCTGTCACTGTGATTCTCCGCGCATGAGGGAACCTTTTCGCCCCCACCGATTCTTATCTAGCGTAATTCAAGGCCACTACAGACTGGCGCTCCATGCTTTTCTCTAGGTTTATCACATCTCAGGTATCACTGTCAAGACGTCACCACGTCTCTCCTTCTCCTGGATTCGATTACTATATCTTCAACTGCACCAACTTTTAGATGTTCATCCCTGCTACCGGAATTGAGCTTCACTGGGCAGCAAATTTTAGATCCATCATCCTCCCTTACAACATTGAAGCCTAACCCTAACCTACTCGACTTGATCTTAGGTGGGTGTAACGAGCCAATTTTAGTTCCTCCATCCTCTCTCAAAACATTGAACACCAACTCTAACGTACTTGACTTGCAAATTGTTGTGGCACAAGCTCTACTGGCACTTTATTCCCTGGCCATGGCCACCCTCCTTCTCCCCCCCCCCCCCCCC